ACGAGGCCGGGAATGAGCTGCCAATCCGAAGACCGGCGCTCCCCGCCCGAGGCTCCCCGTGCGCTGGGGGCCCACCCTCCGGGAGCCATCAGGCAGGAAGCTAGCCAGCTGGAAGACTGGCGCTCCCCACCTGTGGCTCCCTGTGCGCCGGAAGCCCTCCTTCCGGGGAACGACGAGGCCGGGAGTCCCTACTATTTTTTAAATTAGCTATAAAACAGCCTTAGGGGGGGAAATCAAATTATATCATGTATAGGTATAAATTCCCTATGATGAGTGTTGATTATTTTGTACACCTAAAATGTACCATTAATTTAATTAATAAAAACAAAAAGCCTTAGGCAGGTCCTTCAGGAATATCCCAGAAGAAACTGTTACTACAGAAAACAATAGCTCTGTGTACATTCTCCCTGGACACCTTCCAGTGGTACAGAATGTAGAGATGGAAGCCAATTTATATGGATGATGCTGACTGTGTAGGCCTGAGTGTGTGTGTATGTGTGCGTGTGTGTTTTCAATCATAGAAAAAAACTTATAGAGTAAAGATATAAAGAAAGAATCTGCCGGGCATGGTGGCGCACACCTGTAATCCCAGCATTTGGGAGACTGAGACAGGAGGATGCTTGCGAGTTCAAGGCCAGCCTGGGCTACAAAATGAGCTCAAGGCTGGCCTGAATTACATAGGGAGACCCTGTCTCCAAAAATAGACAAAAAAAAAAAAAATCTATGGTAAAGGTAGAATGGAGCCTAACCTTTCCTAATCAGCAAATGATCAGCTAACATGTGCTACTGTTTTTTCTGCCATGCCCTGAGTCAGATGTTACCTGTTTTATCCTCCACAATTATACAGCTTATGTTGGAGGAGAGCTGGAAGCACTGATATAGGAGGCAGGTAATTTGATTGCCCCAACTTTAGAAATTAATACCCATAAAAAATTTGCTGAAAACATGAACTCTGGATGAGAATAACGGAGATAAATTTATTTTGGTGAAAAAAATTTTCGTACAATTGTGTGTTTGTGTTTTAAGCTAAGTATTACTACACAAGAGCCAAAAAGTTTAAAAGCTTATCAGTTAAAAAGTAAGCTTTCATTAATAAACTATTTTTTCAGTGCTGGTGATCAAGCGCAGGCCCTCACACATGCTAGGCAAGCACTGTACTACTGAGCTACAGCTCAGCCTTAAAATTATTATTGAAGAAAGGAAATTTATAAATGTAGCGTAACCTAATCGCACAGTGCTTCTAAGGTTCATGGTGTTGTAAAGTTCTAGGCCTGTACATTCACTTGCCCCTCACTCTGCTTCCCCAGAGCAACTCCCAGTCCTGCTGGCTCCATCCACGGCGAGTGCCCCACGCGGTGTGCCATTTTCGTCTTTTATTATTGTCCTCATTATGATTTCGAGCGGTACTGGTGATTGAATTCAAGGCCTTACACAGCCTAACCCTTTTTATTTTTTCATTTTGAGACTGGGTTTATTAAATTGCCCAGGCTGGCTTAAAACTTGTGATCTTCCTTCTCAGCTTCCCAAGTAGCTGGGATTACAGATATGTGACTTTCTGCCCAGTCATTTTTTATCTTTTCTTTTTTTTTGAGGCTGAGTCTCCCTGTGTAGTCCTTGAACTTTTGATCCTCCTGCCTCAGCCTCCTGAGTGCTGGTGTTACAGTCATGCCTCACTATACC